ACTTTTCGCTTAGGATAAAAATAAGAAAAGCCAGCACGAGTTTGATTGTAGGTGTACATGCTATGATTGACTACACGAAAACCTTTATTGAGACCAGTGGCACTTTGACGTGTACGTAAAACCTGTAAAAACTTATCCTTGTCAATATCATTGCATCGTTTGTTGATGCCTTTGCAGCTAAATTTATCGCTGGTACCAAAACAATAATACGTTTTCGAACATAACCCTATAATGCCATCACCACTCCACTCTTCCTTGAATAAACCTGGCGTTCTCTTATCATACGCTTTGTTCTCTGGCGTATYGGTTCTAGGGAACCACTGATGCTTCTCCTGTTCAAACACGTCCTTCAATTCAGGCCTCACTAAATCTTCTACCTTTTCTCCTGATATRGCAATATAGGMAGAATMKGTATCCATTTCAYAATAGGCAAAGTCAGAGCGATCTAGAAATTTATCTAAAAAATCATAATAAAACTGGAGCATTCTAAGTTTGGCGTACTGGTAAACAAAATAACCTATTTGTAGAGCAAAGATTCAACGAGATGAATTTCTTGCAGGACTGAACTTCATAGTTATTCTCATCAATGGCATCCAAGGTACGGAAAAAAGGAGAATTCACCAGCTGCGAGGCTTTGGTTTCTTCAAAAAACTTGATTTCACGATGCCGTTCTTGATCGGTTATGGTCTTGCCGTAACTGGAATTCCCCACCAGTTTCATGGTATCGGCAATAATGGCTTTATTGGGGTCTGCATCTCCAGCTCTTCTGGCATTGGAAACAGCTTCACCAAAAGGTTGGAAACAAGCTTTGGGAGTATATTCAACAACTTGGTAGATTCTCGTGATTTCCAAACCATGCTCGAGGTACCATTGAACAAGAGGAGTAGCAAGCAGGATTTTAGTGCCAAAATAGCTTCCAATGAGACTTCGTCTTGGTTGAGGCATCAGGTTATGTTCTTCAGCAAAGGTCTGCATAAACTCGCCAATATCCTCTCTGGAAATATTGACATTCTTAAATATGGGGCACATCTCTGAAAACTTGGGTTTCATTTATCTGGTACTTGAATGTCACATTCAATCACTCCAAAAAGCTGACCATTCTTAACAGCTTCTAAGATTTGACTTTGAGTGAGCGTAATGTGATGATCTAATGGCCGATAGACCTGGYTTGCAAGGAACTGGGTWACCAAAGGATTCTGCTTTTTCTCTCTTCGCCATTCGCATTCCCACTTTTCGTGAACAGTGTAGCCTTGCTCTCTTAGATAGTCAGTGTTGCTTTGAGTTTCCTCTCGGAGCTCTGCCATGGGTTTGTTTCTTCGCTTATTATGTTGCTTTCCTCTTGTCAGATGGCACGAATGACCATGCCAGTAACATCCATGGAACTGGAAGATGGTGTTGCTGGGTGCATGAAAGCCATCTACAGGTAACTTCCGATCTCCAATTCGCTTTTCTGTCCCATTCATTTGGTGGCGAATCTGGATTTCTCGTTGGTTGGCTTCCCATTCTAACCATTCGGTGGCCATTTTCACGGAACATTCTTTCTTGAAACCGGTTTCTTCTCGCCTTCTAGTGTAAGAGCCCGTGGGCATCTGCTGCATGATCGCCCAGAGGTAGAGTGCATTGGCATCGTATCCCACAATCTTTTGGCACAGTTTCGCTTTTTCACCCAACTCGTTCTCTCTCAGTTTGGTTTTGCCGGCTTCATGATATCGATGGAAAATGACACTGGGTCCTCCCACCATGTTGCTCTTGAAAGTGTAGTAGAGATCTTTATTTCTCTCGTCAAATAAAGAAAAGTAAATTCCAGGTTCTAAGGTCAGGAAGAGGTAAGTCAGAGTCACACCAGGGATGGAAATGCCTTGTCGAAGCATGTCAATGTTCTTCGCCTTCCAAAAAGCATTCATTTTCTYTRGAGCTTCGCAAAACGGCTCGACATCAAGGTTATTGTACCAGATGAGAAAATCTTTGAAGGTTTTCATCTCCTTTTCTTGCCAAACGTGCTGACAGTAAAGGTATTCTTCTTGAGAGATATTCTTCTGTTTTAAGGAAGAGTAGAAAGCTTCATGTGGAGGGAGTGAAGTATGTTCCAGTTTCTCTAACGAATCCATCCACTCGTAGGGAAAGAAACCTTTGGTTTGAGGGCATTCGTAAGCTTTCAGGAGTTTTTCGTAACTAAATCCAGGGGCCAGAAAGTTGGTAACATCGAGGAAACGGAGATGATCTGTTTGGAGGCACATGAAGTTGTTGTTTCTTTTAATGGTGAATTGGATGCTTTCATATTCTTCAAGGACAGGAATCAGGAATTTCTTGGTAGTGTTCAAGTCATATTTCCCAGAGTTGAAACCGACCACAGGCAGTTGCTTCAAATATCCTTCCAATCGATCTCTCAGTTTCTTTAAGGTTTTGTTGGATCTTGTCGRTGGYTCWGGTTCTTCTTCTTCTARTTGACGTTCTTCTTCCTGTTCATCCAGTTGATGGTTAAGGGCACGGTAGAAAGAGTAATCTTCTTCTTCATCATCCTCTTCATCGTTCAGAAAAGCACGATCTTCTTCTGTTTCCTCTTCTATCTCTTCCTCATCTTCATCCTCGCTATCAAGCACATCAATTCCTCTATCATTCTCATCATCTTCTTCGCTGTTACAGCTAGGTTCGGTTTGTTCTGGTGGGCACTTTTCATCAATGGCATCAAACACAGGTTRGAAACGTTCACGAACCAAAGCATAACTTTGTTGACTGATTTTGACCAAGTAATCGATCAAGTTTTGTAGCAGTTGCTTGCTATCCCCATCGGATACGAAGCACACGGGTTTGGCGAAATCAGGTACATTGGAGCAGATACTGACGCTCAGAGGAACATGTTTGGCTTCCCAGTGAACTTTGGCACTGTCGCTGGGTAGACGTTCCTTGTCAAAGAGGCATTCAAAGTCAAAGGTGGCATGGAACGGGAAGAATTTTAAATGTTCTTCGATKGTGATGCCTTCTTCTAACAGCTCGAAGATGGTTTTGGGGGTTTTGAACACTCCACCGGGAAACTTGTATCGAACTTTGGCTTCGCAGGTTCGCTCGTGGCGTTTAAGCATGAATTGATCTTTCCAGAACTTCCCGCAGCGAGAACAGGCAAACGATTTAGAATACTTGGCCATACTTTTGATGAAAGAGAAGTGGTTCTTGTATAAG